TGTATTATGAGCTTCTAAAACCAGGTGAAACCGTTAATCCTGATCGCTACAGACAACAAATAATCAATTTGCACCACGCTTTGATCATAAAACAACCAGAATGGGCCAGAAGACACAGAAAAGTAATTTGCTTCATGATGATGCACCATCACACACTTCAAAACTAGTTAAAGACATGTTAAAAGATCTTTCCTGGGAAGTATTAACCCACCCATCGTATTCACCAGACCTTGCTCCTTCAGATTACCACTAGTTCCAATCAATGGCACACGCACTTTCTGAGAAGCACTTCAAAACAAACATATGAAGAAGTAGAAAATTGGGTCTCTGAATGGTTTGCCTCAAAACAAGAAAAGTTCTATTGGGATGGTATCCACAAATTACCTGAAAGATGGGGGATATGTGTAGCTAGCGATGGACATTACTTTGACTAAAGCACTTTTGATGTTTCTCTTAAAATTATCGTGTTTTCTTTGATTATAAAATCCGCATTGTTAACCGGTACACCTAGTAAATGCTATTGAATATGCCTACCAATGTATAAAACAGCATTAACATTCAATTTTAAAATGATTTATTAAATCAAATGATGTATTTTAAAACTAATTAGAATAGTATGTACAGTGACTAAAAAGTGATGGGTTTATTCTTTATATTATCCTTTACTTACATGTAATCTGGCTGCGTCAACGGCATTTTCATATACGTCATCTAAATAAATTGGGAAGACAGCTCGATGCCAGTATAAAAAACAACAGTCACACTGTGCTTGCACTCTACAATGTAAAGGAGTAATTAGTGGTACCAAAATTGAAGTACTCCCCCAAAACTAACTCCTTACTCATTTTTGTGTCCGCTATATCACTTAATACAAAATTAGTACGGAAAAGCCACAAAATGTTTCAAATTGAACAAGGGTAACAAAATACTCTAATACCTGACAGTTTCAGAATTCTGCACACATGATTTAGCTTTAAAGAATATATGAAAAACAATATAAGTAACTTTTAGATTTTAAAATACATTTTCAATGTCATCTGATATGTCTACACTTAAAATACTTGAATCACATGCACTTTTTACCTGTCTCAAAACTGAACAGCAAAGCCTTTTTAAAAACTGTGACCAAAAGAAAAACAAAAACCAGTTACAGTTAATATGTCTACAATCTTTGCAACTGACTAGTTCTGACCTTATGGGGCATCAAAATGATCATTAAATACCTTATAAAGAAGCCGATTCAGTATTTCTTCCAGGGATGGGCTGTTAAATGCCACTAACTACAAAAATTTCAGCTTCTCAGAACAAAAATATTGTTGTAAATATGAACATTAAATAGAAATTGTGCTGTAACCTTAATTTGGCTGGGAATTAAAATTCAGAAAATTCGTTTTCCCTTTAAGAAAACTGCTTACTCTTTAGTTAAAAATAAATAAATAACGTCACAGGAGTTACAAAACAAGCCTTCCCAAAATTAATTCATCTTAATGATTGGCTACCAACAATGTAATTCAAATTCAGATCTCAAAACAAAATTACAGAAGACTATTTGACATGGATTTCTAAGCCTCTCATAAACAGATGAAGCCTTATGAAAAAGCAACAATTTTAAATGTCCACTGGAGATACCCATCACAACAATCACAATGAGCATCAGGGTCCTCCAAATGCTTTCACGGCTACAACATGTAGTCTCCTGTGAGTTCTTCCAGGAGCTATATCCTTACTATAGGAGCAAAGCTAAAGAAACATGATTCCTGGTAACAGTCTAATTCTAGTCATGCTCAAGAAATTGCAGAGAGGAACTAATGGTCTATCTGGGTTACATTTCTCCTCTTGCTATGCTAAAAAGACAACTGATGTCTCCATTAGCCCCACCATTTTTTCTTTTAAGATTTTTATAATTGACTAGAGGCCTGGTGCACAAAATTTGTGCACATGGAGGGGCAGGTCCCTCAGCCCGAACTGCACCTTCTCGCTCCTCCATGGAGCAGGCCTAAGCCATCAGTCGGACATCCTTAGTGCTGCCGTGGAGGCGGGAGAGGCTCCCATCACCGCTACTGCGCTAGCCAGCCATGAGCCCAGCTTCTGGCTGAGCAGCGCTCCCCCTGCGGGAGCACACTGACCACCAGGGGACAGCTCCTGCATTGAGCATCTGCCCCATGGTGGTCAGTGCGTGTCGTAGCAACCGGTCATTCTGCTGTTCTGTCGATTTGCATATTAGCCTTTTGTTATATAGGATAATGTCTTATTATGGGCAAGGCCTCTAATTCAATTTTTTTTAGGTAGTTAAAGGGAGGGGCAGAATTTTCACTTGAGCCTGAAGCTAAAATTGCCCTTAGCTCAAAAATCTGCATACCACTGAGACACATCTTGGTGAGGCTCATTCT